TAACATAAAGTGTCTTGGACAATGGAGGGAATAAGTCTTTGGTCCTCAACATGAAGTGTCTTGGACGATGGAAGGAACAAGTCCTTGGTCCTCAACACAAAGTGTCTTGGACAGTTGAAGGAGTCAGTCCTTGGTCCTTAACACAAAGTGCCTTGGACGGTTGAAGGAACCAGTCCTTTGGTCCTTAACACAAAGTGTCTTGGACGATGGAAGGAACATATCCTTGGTCCTCAACACAAAGTGTCTTGAACAGTTGAAGGAACCAGTCTTTGGTCCTTAACACAAAGTGCCTTGGACGATGGAAGAAACAGGTCCTTGGTCCTCAACACAAAGTGTCTTGAACAATTGAAAGAGCCAGTCCTTGGTCCTCAACACGAAGTGTCTTGGATGATGGAAGGAACAAGTCCTTGGTTCTCAACACGAATTGCCTTTGACGATGGAAGGAACAAGTCCTTGGTTCTCAACACAAAGTGTCTTGAACAGTTGAAGGAGCGAGTCCTTGATCCTCAACACGAAGTGTCTTGGACGATAGAAGGAACATGTCATTGGTCCTCAACAAAAAGTGCATTGGACGATGGAAAGAGTAGGTCATTGGTCCTCAACAAAAAGTGCATTTGATGGTGAAAAGTGGCAGTCCTTGGTCCTCAATGTGTATGAAGGTTTGCAATTTTGAGTTTGTTCATAGGCATGTATTTCTTGAACTCATAGAATAATTGCAACATAAAAAAAAAATCTAACCTTTCCACGAAAAAAAATTTGAACCTCAAAATCCTTGATTCGTTCCAAAAAATTGAATCCCTAAAAAAAAGGATGTTAGTATCAATTTCGTCAAAACGACAATAATAAAAAAAAAATAAGGATCGAAATAAAAAGACAGAACAAAAAAAAGAAATAAATAAATAAATAAAAAGAAAGAAAAAAAGAGAAAAGTCACGTCAACCAAAAAAATAAAAAAAACGATTTATACTTTTGCAGAAACCCATTTTGAATAATTAGAATTCTTCAAAATGGGTTTCTGTGCATGAAACCATTACCAATGGTCTTTGCCACGTGCAGAAACCTCTTATGATATATATTATAAAAAAAAAAAGAAAAAGAAGAAGGTCAAATGCAGCAACTAAGACCAATTCCAATTGGTGTGTGTGTGTGTGTGTATATATAAGGTTAATTTAAAGGTTTTTAACTACTACTGTTTCTGGCAGAAAACTAGAGTCCCAAAGTCCAAAATCTTTGGTTCCGATGACGCCAACAAGAGACCAAGAAATATTATAATAATAATTAAAAAAGGGGTTGCAGAATATTTGGTTGCTTTGTTTCTGCAACCAAAGTAATGTTTGGTTTTTTGTCATGTTGTGTAGAAACCAAACTTTGGTTTCTGCAACATGACAGAATCCAATCTGGCAGGCCAAAACCATGTTAAAAGAAAGAATAAAAAAAAAAAAACACACACACACACACATGAAAGAGACAAAAAAAAACAATGAAATGAAAAAAAAATTGTTTACTTTTGTTTGCAAGGTTTAACAAACTTATTCCCAAGTCTCATAATTCCTTCTTATAAATATGCGGGTAATGGACTTCACTTAAACCGAATTTACCACGAAACATAAAAAGCCTGTTGAAATCAAATTTGTTATGGATCTATAAAATAAATAATTAATTAAAATTCGACAAAAAAAATTCTTATTCTCAAATTTGAAGGATAAAATTTTTAGCAAATTCATATCTTATTCTCAAAATTTTCGTCTGTATTAATTTACTAATGAGAAATTTGAGTTCAAATCAAATCCTAAATTAAAAAATAAAATAAAATATAACAAAATCAAGAAATTCAAAAAATCAAGATTTATTAATTTATTTATTTCATAATAAATAAATAAATCTCGAGGGGACATTTTTAGAAATAAAAAATAAATAAAGAAGTAAATAAAATAAAATGGATTGAGTCGATTTAAATCATTAGCCCAATTAAATTTAAATCTACGAAAGTCCATAAAATCCAAAGGCCTGTACCAAATTTTAAATAAACAAACAAACAAAATAAATAAAATCATAATTACTCAATTATCTCTTTTAATTAAATATAATTGAGTAATTATCAAAATTAGTCCGAATCCTCCCCTATAAATAAGACCAATGGTTCATAAGATAGAAGAGATAGAAAGCAAGTAAGAAAAAAACAGAGAACGCCATGAAGTGCTGAAGAAATTCCAAGACCAAAAGAAGGAAAGAATTCTTCTCAAATCCAAATCCAGTGAACACCAAGATAATTAAAATCTTCTTCGAATCAAACAAGTTAACGCTAAGTCCGAGGAGATCAAAGTCTTCTTTAAATCAAATCAAATTCAAATCCAAGTATAAGCCCCGAAGTTCAAGTTTCCGAACAAGTCAAGTCTCGACAAATCAAATTTCCAACAAATTCTTGAAGACTAGAATTCAAGCCACGTGGTCCCTCGTCTTCAAATATTCAGATCATTAATCAGAGGATTTTGCAATTTTACAATTACAAGAAAGTCAACATCACTTGTATTTATCAAAATATAATTTGTAACGATTTCTATATTTTAATACACGAAATTTCGCTCTACACTAATATATATATAAAATTAAACATTACTTCTCTCTCCATTCTCACTTCTCTCTCTAAATTAACCTAAATTGCCTCACTTCTCTCTCTACTCTCACCTCTCAACCACAGCTCCAACAATTGGGGGAAAAATATGAGACCGTCGACGCCGAAGTTAAGCCAATAGAAGAAGCGTCGCAGTCGCCCATCTCCAATCCAACGACGTCAGCTTCCTCTTATCTCCTTTCCTGTATCCGCAACAGGTCCCCTCACGAATCTGTGATGGCAATTTGTGGCTGCAGCTGTGGTGGTGGAACTGGGGGTTTGGGTGGGTGTGAATTTGTGATGGTGTTGATGGGTGGTGGTGCAGTGGTGATGATGGTGTGGTATGGGCGACGATGTAAGGGTTCGATAGTATTGGTGGCGTGAATATATGCGGGCGATGGATCTATTGCAATGGTGGTTGTGATGCGATGGTATTGGCGGCGTGGATTTGTGCGGGCGACGATGCAAGGGTGTGGTGGTATTGGCGGTGTAGATCTGGTAGCTTTGGTAGCTATGAATCTGTGATGTTGTTGATGGTGGCGGTGCAGTGGTGATGGCGGTGCGGTGGTGTGGGCGACGATGCAAGGTTGTGGTGGTATTGGCGGTGTGGTGGCTGTGCCTGTGACTCTCGATTATTAGAATTACTATGAGGAAACAAGTTCATTTATCATGAAAGGGGCAATGGGTATAAAATGTCCTTACCTTATAAGTGTATTGTGGAAAACCTTCATAACTTTCATTTTTTGACATTTTCGCCTCCTATCTTCCACTTTTATTTGCGCTGAATGTCCCTTTCATTCATTTTTGACAATTTTACCCTCATATTCAAATAAAACAAAAAGGAAAGAAAAAAAAATGGAGAATTAATTGCAACCATGACACTCCAAAAAACATAGAGGAAAAGTATAGGCACACTCTTCTTTCTGTTTATACCTTATCAGAGAATCTTCATATGCAAACCCTTTACTTCGATGCTGAGTTAAGTAACAAGAAGAATTTCGATCAAATAATCTTCCCAAAAGAATGGTGTCGCTGAAAGCCGAGAGCAGGCCACTATGGATAGGTTTAGGCACTGTAGTTTAGGTAGAAATAACAGTAGGGAGTACCTATACTTTCCTTCACTAAAATCAGTTCTTGGCTTCAACCAGGGACAATTGACCATTCTTGGAGTGGCAAATGATATTGGGGAATTCCTACCTTATTGGGTGGTAAGTTCTTGACCATTCTTCAACCAACCAAACTATTTAATCCCTGCCTTATTGAGTTGTAAGGTCTGCATTTTTCCCTCTATTAAGAATTGGGATTCTATTTATGGTAAAACAATTTTACTAGGGTGAAGTATGTCGAAGCTAAGTGTTCTGCGGTGACAAGAAGCACCACAAGTGGCAGTGAAGCAGTGCGAAAGTGGCTGCATGGTTGCAATTTATAATTTATTTATTTTTGAAAATTTGTAACTCATTTGTAATTTTTTAAAAATTTGTGACCAAGATTGCGATTAATTCTCTATTTTTTCTTTTCTTTTCTTTTTGCTTTCTTTGTAGAGGAGGATAAAATTGTCAAAAATGAATGAAAAAGACATTCAGCGCAAAGAAATGTGGAAGGTAGGGGTGCAATTATAGACTCAATTTTTAAAAGGGAAAAAATCAGTTACACTATATATTGAATTCTTTAACCTCTGAATTGAACCTTTGACCTTTCGAAATCAATGTTTTGCTTGCATATATCAATCCATATTCATTCATATTTTACAACCTCATATTTTAGTTTGATTATAATTGTGACAAGTGAAAGTAATTTTTAGTCTCGTAATGTTATAGTTTCCAGTCTTTAAGAGAGTCCAACGCATTTTAATATCAATAATCTTACCTTATTATTTCCCTCTTCGTATTATCCGTCAATTATATAATCCTTGACCTTCTGATGAGTGTAACAAAGCCATAGCCACCTACTGCCTTATTTATTCAAAACTAAAGTCCTAATAAATCCAAGGTTAATGCTGGTTGTACATTACCTTGTACATGAGCTTGTCCATAATGCTGAGTTAGCATTGTTTGAATTTCAATTTCTCGTGGCCATTAAAGAATGGGTTAAATTTTTTGATAGAATTCCCAAAAAGCCCCTACCTTATCTGATTCCTCAAAACCTTCTCTTTGCACAAGAAATCGCCATACAATACTCTGTCTAATTGAAATCCTCTGACGACCGACAATGAGTCGGCGACGATGAGCAGATCGAGTGAGACAAACGTATGACGGCATCTTTAACTTGACTATGCGTAGTTTTAAAATGGTTTTCATTTCTGTTTTGGTGGATTTCTTCATTTTTTTGTTTGGGTCGAAATTTTCGAAGTTCTATACCTTGCTTTTCGCTGGACATGAAATGGGTAGATTTCACTTCCTATTTGTGTGTGTGTGTGTGGGCTGAATCCTCTGCGTATATCGTATCAATGCTTCAATTATCGGGTAATGTAAAATGGTTTAGTGTTTGATTATTTGGAGTTAGAATTTTATTTATTTATTTATTTATTGTGTGTGATAGCATATTGATTTTGCCTTGGGTTGCTGTAAATTTCATAATTTTCTGAGCTTTTTACTGCCCTTTTTAAAAATATAATTGAGGGTTTCTTGTGGATAAACAATGGCGTTAAACGAAGGAGAAAAAGAGATTTGACTGGACTAACTGCTCTTAATTTTCTCTTTATGTTTTTGTGGACTGCATTTGCTTTTATATTTTTGTAAAGATCCTTGACAAGTTTGTTATATTTAGTTTGGTCTATCATCTAGATTTATGTCAAAATATATGGTTGCCTTGCATAAACTGTCGTATATAATCTAAATCCTATTTTTCTCATCTCAGGCCTAGTGAGATGGTACAGTCTAACAAAGTATACACCGAGGAGGATGTAAGAGACCAAGTGGTTAAAAGGATCCCATTCGAGTCATCCGAGCAGGGACCCTTTCGCTTTCCTGGGTTACGTGGTGATATTGAAGCCATTGAACGTAGTTTCTTTTGGCGGTATCAACCATTTCTTTGAAGCAGCCGAAGAGATGAAGAATGATTTCTTTAGTGCAATAGCGGCTCCTTTGGAATTTCAGCAATCAAATGACATTATATAGTTGGACATTTCAATTTTCAAATCTGTGGAAGTGAATGTAACTCTTCAACCATTATGACACAACTAAATTTTTTTTACGTTGCCTGCTTCTAAAGGTGAATACCAATTGCCATAAACAATAGAAATTCCCACATTTTAAATAGTCCAACCATCATTTTAAACAACACATTTCAGATTACATAAACTGCCTGCTTCTCACTGTGATTTCACAAACTGAAACCACAAAAATTCCCACATTTTTAACAACACAAATTCCCATATTTCTAACACCAAGTTAGTTCCACATTAGTTTTCAAATTGCCTGCTTCTCGTTGATCATGTTGTTGGACATGGTTTGTGACTCTACTTCAATCTGGATACATTTCTCTGCATTATAGGAAGAAGACGAAATTAAATATTTTTAGATGCTTCTCATTTATTAAATATGATAAAATTTGAGATCAAATCAAAGAGAAAAAATACCGTTCTTGCTGTTTTCTTCAATTTTGTCGGCTTCGTATCAAATAAGGAGAAGAAATTGGTTGTTAGTCCATCCGTTTGGGTTGCGTTTGGGTCAAAGGTGGGTCAGAGGAGCTTGGGCTCGGCAAGTAGGGAGTGGGAAATGGAGGGAATGAAAAGATGATTGAGGGTGGAAAATGGGGGGAATGAAAGAAAACGTGGGCTTTACATTTCAAATTCAGGGTTCTCTTTTTTATTAAAGCTGGCGATATTTTGAGTGAAAATATCACCAATATATCACCACCTAAGCATTATGGATACCTTTATGTAGGGGCTAATGTACATCTAGCATTACCTTAAATCCAAAAAGACCGTTTCCACATTTGCAAATATTCATGTTTTTTTATTGGTTCAAGTTGCATATATTTAGAAAGTAAACACGTGGTGGTGCATGAACCAGATAATATGATATTTAATGGGTACATAATGGGTTATATAATACCATATGTCACTTTATTATTTGTTAGCTTAAAATACAGTTAACTTTTTCATCAAATCTTTTTCCTCTGCATCGTTTTTGTAACCTCTTAGGTACTATTTTAAAGTACAAGTAGCATAATCCACTTTCAAATACGTATGATTGGAAGACAAATGGATAATTTCCACTCATTTGACTGTTAATTGATCAGAATAGTAGATTTTGACTTTGACCAAATTTTAAAAGGGTCAAATGGGGAATATATATATATATATATATATATATATATATAATTGACTTTGAGCAAATTTTAAAAGGGTCAAATGGGGAATATATATAAACACACGCAAAAAACACAACTATAATAATTACATAAAAAACAAAAATCAAAACCACCCACGCATCTTCATCTTCCCCACCCTAATCTAACCTCTTACCCCAAAATAATAATCATTGCCACTGCCATCGTCACCTACCCAACGTCGACACCACCACCGCCTCAAACTAAGCCCTTTCGTCTAAACCCTAGTTCTTGCTCTCATTGATGAAAATTGTTTTAATGTGGAAATTGAGGAGATAGAGATGGAAATTAGAAGATTGACTTTGAGATTAGAGGCTTTGAAATCGGAAAAGGTTGAGAAAAGTGTAAAAACTGTGGAAAAAAAAAGAGGAAGAGTGATCCTGATGAAGTTTATGGAATAGAAACAATGTGTTAAAACCGCATAAGAGAAGAAAGAGATCAAACATTTTTATCAGTGAGAGCAAGGACTAGGGTTCAGATGAAGGGACTTTGTTTAAGGCGATGGTGGTGTTGACGTTGGGTGAGTGGCGATGGTTTGGCTTTGATTTTGATTTTGGGGTGGGTGGGGGAAGAAGATGGATGGTAGTTTTGATTATAATTTTGTTCTTTTTTTTTCTTTTTCAATAATAAATGAAAGGTTAAGATAAAATCTTCGAAAATTAATAATATTTGGCGCATAACTGCAATTATCCCTATTTAATAAAGATTTGTTTTGTCCACATAAAAACAGTTCTTGACCTAATAAAGAAAAAGGAATTAATTTTGTATGTGTCTCGATTCTGTATTGTAGTTATTGACTATGAATAATATTCTTAGTTATCCTATGTTTAATACCTGTTATTTGAGGTATTAATTTGTTATTTGAGATAATAGAATTACAAGAAATTAATGTCTCAAATAAAAAACTGTTACATATAAATAATATAATGACATTGTAGTCGCTGACTATAAATATCATTATTCATATAAATATAAAATTTGTTCTAATGATATATTGGTCACATATTATTAAACAAGATGAACAAAATTAAAAAAAATAAATAAAAATCCTTAACTAATTTATTTAAATATCAACAAAGTAGTTATAGTGTAGTGGTAAAGGTTAAATATTTTACTTGCTTTTTGGAAATTTGGCACAATTAGTCCTTGATCTTTAGCATCTCTTAAAAAATTTTATCCTGCCTTAAAATAAAATTTTCTATTCCCAATATTTAGTTCCATTTTTTATCATTCTAAATATAATTCATAAACGTTAATTTTCACACGCGAGATACAAAAGCTATTTTTCTAAGGGTGGCAAAGCACTCAACATCTAATCGATCTTTCTAGCTTTTTCATTTTTTTTTTCTTTTTCAATTTTAAATTTCAAAATAAAAATCCATTCTTTTTCACATACGATCTTGAACTGTGCAAAAATCTACAATTCATGCTTTTGTACAAATCAACCAGTTTCTTCTTCGTGCTACTCGGTAAAAACAAAAGAATAATATAGTCAATTACAAATATATTAAAAACAATTCTTAGTTTATCAGTGTTATAAAAACCAGTCTCTTCTTATCCTTCCTTTTTCTTTTTATATATTTTTTTGGTATTATGTGTTCCTTTTTTTTCACGCTGATTTTATCAATGAATTGTGATATCCTCTATCATAAAAAAATTAAAAAAAAAAAAAAAAATATATATATATATATATAAAAAAAAAAAAAAAAAATATATATATATATATATATATATATATATTTCTTTAAATCATCAATTACAACATGATCACTATACACTATTAGGCAATATTAGAACGTAATTATTAATGAAATTTTAACCGTGTAATTTTCTTTCTTCAATCTTCATGCCTTGTTTGGTAAGATTTAATCTAAATCAAAACCAGTAATAAATTTTAATCATATAGTTATGGGATCTACAATTTTTTAACATCACGTTTCATTAATTTTTATCAAAATTTATTAAAAATCTGATTTTAATCTTTACAAAATAAGGTCACAGCGTTATTAAGTTCAATAAATCCAACACTATAAATTATTTTTTCTCCTATATTATTCATTAATATTTCATTCATGTAATTATAGAGAATGGTCAACAATTTCACGAGAGTTAGTGATGCATTCTAAGTTCCAGAAGTTTTTGAAAACCTTGAGAAGTTCAAAATCTCCCACGACCCACAGAGTTGTGGTCAAAAGTTCCAATATGGATATCTTTAAATCTTAGTACAAGTGTGCCAATTTGAATGGCAATCTATTTTATGATTGGAAGTTTGATTTATTTTACATTTTGTCTGCATGTTGGCTATATGCAAAAGTGGTCTTAAAGCAATTGGATAGAAAATTGGTCATACAATACAAATGTGTTGATGAATTGATAGACACTTCTCAATGTCATATGATGAAGAGAGGCTTGTTAAATGGTTTAGTAAAAGACTTGCAAAGCCACTTAGTACAGTGAAACTCTTCGTACTAAATATTTAAGGCTAAAAATATATTAAGGGTGCGTTTGATTACACTTATTTTTTATGGAAAATATCAGTTTTCCAACCAAATTCCTACTTGAAGTGTTTGATTGCTAATTTTTTTTTCCATGAAAAACATTTTCCAACTTTTGAAAATATACTTAATTTTCCTTGTTTTTAAGGAAAACATTTTCCTTGGATGGAGGTAGTTTTTATTTTCCACAAAAGAAGGAAAACATTTTCTTTTTTAGGTGATATTTTCCATGTCAATCAAACACACTCTAAGGGTGTGTTTGATTACATTTATTTTCCATGAAAAATATCAATTTTCCATCCAAATTCCTACTTGGAGTGTTTGATTGCTATTTTTTTCCATGGAAAACATTTTCCAACTTTTGAAAACATGCCTACTTTTCCTTGTTTTTAAGGAAAATATTTTCCTTGGGTAGAGGTGGTTTTTATTTTCCACAAAAGATGGAAAATATTTTCTTTTCTAGATAATATTTTCCATACCAATCAAACACACTCTAAGAGAAATTTAGAAAGAGTAATGTTATTCATAATTAACATCATTGGCCTAGATGATAGTGGACCACTAATTATTTAGTGGAGTTGCTATTTATTTTAACGCACTAAACAATAAATTTAGACAACCGTTACCACATAAATTGATGATAAAATCTACTAGTGATGAATAACATTATTGTTTTGAGAAAAGCTTAAAAACATCATTATCAAATATGAAAATTAAAGAGGTTCGGATACAAATCCTTAATGCAAATAATTCAGTAAAATATATTAGAGATTCGACATGTTAGTCCACTTAGCCATTTATTTAAAGAGTAGCATGTCTTTCTAAATATCAAAGTCAAGCTTCAAGACTAGTTGGCTGAATTCGAGCGAAAGTTAGATGAAATTTAATATTGGAACAGTACCCAAAATCGAGGTTACTTATCTATATAGACAATTTTCGTTAATAAATAAATGAATATTTATCTTCAAAATAATTTTCATACTTTATTGTTGTTTCTACTAATATCGAATGATCCTTGGTCTTAGAGATAATTGCATAGTGTATATGACCGGGTCATGCATAGAAGATATGTTTTGGATCATGCTACCTAAATGAGGATATCCATGACTCGAAATGTAGTTGGACTTTATTCTAGTGGGTCATATGGTAATTTACTTCACAAATGGACGAATGATTTATTTTTTCCATAGAAGTGGTTGTTGAATTTAATTGAAATGATGCTAAGAATCAAGAATCACAAAATAATAATTGATAGTTCAAATTCATACACATGGATGACATGGTTGATATAAATAATAGCAACTAAATATTTATCTCATTGCTCATCACAAAGTATTAACATCAATGGAGCAAGCTAATGATA